CCCCACCCCCCACCCCGCGAGGCAGTCGACCAAGATCGCGCGAGCCATCGTGGAGAACAGGCCCATAGCGACCACCGGGCAGCTGGCGGAGGTGGTGGGAAGGTGCGCCCCGCCTAAGGAACGCGTCAAGACCCTGGCCCGGGTGTTTCAAGCCCTCCGGATAGAGGTGAGGGGTTCCCGAAAGTCCTAGGGTAGCTGGCGGATGCTTTTCATGGTAGAGGTGAGTGCCCTAAAGGCAGCCGTGGACCAAGCTAGCTAGCTGAGATGGTGTGCCAGGGTGTTTCATTTCAAGCCCTTCGGAGAGAGGTGACGGGTCCTCGAAAGGCTAGCCCTGACACCTTAGCTAGCGCGAGCGGGTGTTTGAAGCTATCAGGATATAAGAGGTGAGTGTTCTTTGCAAGCCCTCAACCAAGGTAGCTGGCTAAGATGGGCAAAACCCTGGCCAGGGTGACTGAACCTCTCCGGATAGAGATGAGGGGTCGTCGACAGGTTTGCCCTGACACCCCAGCTAGCTTCTAGTGGGTGTTTCGAGCTATCAGGATGTAGAGGTGAGGGTTTTTTGCAAGTCGTTAACCAAGCTAGCTCGCTGAGATGGTCAAGGCCCTGGCCAGGGTATTTCGAGCTCGCGGGATAGAGGTGAGGGTCCTCGAAAGGATAGCCCTGACCCACCCAAGCTAGATAACGGGTGTTTCAAACTCTTAGGAAACCCTTGGTCAAGCTAGCTATTTCAGCTGAGATGGTCAAGGCCCTGGCCAGGCCCTCCGGGTAGAGGTGAGCCAGGATAGCCCTGACACCCTAGCCATCTGGCGGTGCGATCTCATTATTCAGATGAAAGCCCTAAATATTCAGCCGTGACCCTAACTCGCTGGCGTTTTTTTTTCTCATGATAGACGTATGGGATCCTTTGAAAGTCTTTTTTACTCTTGCTACGGTAGATTCGCACAAGACGTCACACCCCCTCCCTGGGCCGGTTTTCAAAGCTCGATTGCTCGGCAGGACAAGCAGTGACGGTGCCGAAAATGGCGGCAGGCGTTGGAGCAACGGTCTCGTCGAAAGCTTTCCGACAACGTTGCGTTTGAACTTGGCATGATGTTCGTCGTCGGGAAATCGAGCTTTGGAATCGGTCCACAGGGGGTGTGGTATCTTGCGCAACCTACGGTAGCTGACTGTTTAAAGCTTTCAGGGAAGACCCCCTTTTTTTTTTTTTCGTGTGTAAGATGTTTGTTCGGTGATTTTGTGCCGAAGGCTTGGATTCATCCGATTGTGGGCCACAGTTTTTTTGTTCTGTGTTGAATTGTGCAAGCCATGCCGTACATGAAAACGGCGTGGCGTGTACAGCATGCCTCACACTCTGCCCCCCACCCAAACAACGACGACGGCGACTACAACATCAGCAGCAACAACAGCAACATTGATGGCGCAATCACCACCACCACCAACATCATCACCAACAGCAGCAGCAAAATGACGACGTTCACGACAACACCCCAAAACCCTAACCAGCAATAATCGCCCCCAATGGCTCTATCAGGTGAACGGGGAGCTGGACGCCCTGGAGGCGTTGCTGGAGCAGGCCAAGCACCTCGTGCGACCGGGGGGTCGCCTGCTGATCCTGTCCTACCACAGCCTCGAGGACCGGCGCGTGAAGCGGGTCTTCGCTACTGGGAACTTGAAGGTGTGTCTGGTGTATGTATGTGTGGTTTGTTTGCTTGGTGGTGGTTGCTCGATTTGTGCTCGTGCTTGCTACTATAGTGGGAAGCTCAGGGTGCGCCTTGTGCATGTGTGCGTGTGTTCTGTGCTTGGTGTCGGTTGTTGATTTGTGCTCGAGCTTGCTACTAAAGTGGGAACCTCAAGGTGTGCCTTGTCCATGTGTGCGTTCTGTGCTTGGCTGACTGTTCGATATTTGCTCGTGCGAGCTGCGGGGAGCGCAAGGTACGCCTTGTGTTTTTGTATTGTTTTTCGTGTGTGTGTTTTGTTCGTTTGGTGTTGGTTGTTCGATCGTGCCCGGTTTGTCGCTACGTTTGCTGCGTGTATTCTCTTACTCGTTCGTGCCGCTTCGATGGCGTGAGTGTTCTGACCTAGGGGAACATTCAGGTGCGCCTTGTGTTTTCTTGCTTGGTGTTGGTTGTTCGATTGTGCACAGTTTTTCGCGACGTGAAGCAGCACCTGAAAAACATTTCCGTCCACGTCTCGGATGCTGCGATCGGCTCCGGCTCGCAGGAGTGCGGCAATACGTTTCACTCCCGCGCCAAACCTTGAAGTCCGTAACACTAACTTCGTTGTTAATTCTGTTCTGACACCGCTTTTTTGCGTTTCACCTCGTCTCTTGGTGTTTTTTTTTTGTCGAGCGCGTGAATGTTGCGGCGAAAACGAACCTCAGGGTGTTTATTTTCTTTTGTCGTCACTCCAACTCAGTGCTCACAGCGCTAATGCAGCTTACTCCAACCCGTGGTCAGACTGAAGGGCTCTCCCTTACCCACCCCTCCTGCGGTACCTTGCCTTGGGTGTGTCGCGTTTTTTTTGTTCTGTTGTGCGTGGCTCTTCGGTTCGACATCGACGGCACTACCCCAACCTACCGGCCACCGTAGGTTGCATACGTTAGACACCAAACCCCCTCGAACCATTTTCAAAGTTTCAATTCTTCACGACGAAGAGGATGCTGCAGTTTATGGATACGTTGTCGGGAAAGCTATCGACGAGACGCTTCCAACGCCGCCATTTTCGGCACGTTCAGTTTTTCTCCTGCAGAGCAATCGAGCTTTGAAAATCGGACCAGGGTGTGTTGTATCTTATTCATCCTACGGTAAACTTGAGCACAACCGAAGGGTCTTCCATGTCACTGTAATGTAGCGGGAATCTGTTTCACCAAGCCCTCCACACGCATGTCCCGTAACTTACACGACAGGGGTGCAGTGGGGGGCCCTCAATGTAACGCCGGTATGTGCCCGGCAAATCGACTGGCGCCATTCAGAGGGACCGGCGCTTTTTCAATGTACAGGATGACTCGGTCATTTACCCCGTGCCCAGCAATTTCACCGGCGCTACACAAGGCCACCGGCGCTAATCAACGGCGGCCCTTATTGACGCTCTCTCATCGTACACCGATTACCGGAAGATAGGCTACAGGTAGACGAAATACTCTCTGTCTCTGTGTCTCTCTCTCTCTCTCTTTCTTTCTCTCTCTCTCTCTCTCTCTCTCTTGCTTTTCACGTTTTCCTTGAGGACCCCAGTTGGTGCGGTCAAAAGCTTGCCTGAAGGGCGAACTTAGGTGACATGACGGAAGATATCACACCCCATGGACCAACTTCCTTTACTCGATTACAGATCGCGCCCGCACTCAAGAACCTCTCGTTTCGACCGAAGCTGGGGTTCTTTACCGTCATGCTACGAATGGTCGCTCCTTAGGTTTTAGTGCAGTGTTAGTGCAGTGGTTCTTAGCCGAGCTCACATTTTTTTCTTTTTAGCCTCATTTTCTCGAGTCCTGGGTTCTGAAGTGGTGGCGCGTTCTGTACTGTACTCCGCAGCAACACAGAGTCATGGCGGCGTCGAAAAATGGCTGTGGCGTCGAAAGGCGGCTTGTCGAGAGCTCTTTCCGAAAACGTATCGTTTGACAGCTTCCTGAAGCATCAGCCACCCCCTTCTCCCCGACTTGCGCGATTACTGCTCTGAACAGACGCTGTAGGGCACTAAAACAGCCGAGGGAACCTCCTACTGCAGCACTCCAACGCGTTCAACCGCATCTCCGACTTGCGCATGATACATTTCTCAATGACGACCACCTCTGACGCTGTCGGGCAAAACAATTAGTCGAGAAAGCCTTCAACTGCAACGTTTCACATGCGTCCAACCCACCCGACTTGTTGCAAGTGTTGCCTTTTCTCAACAATGACCAGCTTGTAAGAATATGGCCGTGTAGGGCAAGGTGAAGAAAGCCTTGTACGACAACATTCCAACGCCCCCCCCCCCCCCCCCCTTCGCGGATGATGACTAGCCTCTGGTTCATTCTTGTGAACGTTTGCCTTAGCCGACAAGAAAACCCGGCAATCGCTCCGCCCTGGTATTGTAGGGATGCTAGTGCCAAGGTCTAATGACTATTGAACGCGATTACATGAGTATCCCCCCCCCTCCCTCCCTTGCATGTAACGGACCGCCTTTCCTCAATGGCCACCACCGCCGAATGCTGCTGTAGGGCAAGTAGGAGACGCCCTCTATGACAACTTTCCATCGAGTTCTAACCCCCCCCCCCCCCCCCCCCCCCCCCCCCCCCCCCCCCCCCCCCAC